CCACAGCCCTGGGCCTGGGTTTTCTCCTGTAGAACTGGTGAGTGGTGTGGCGAGACCTCTGGTCTCCCTTCCAGCAGGGACACTCTGTGACCCGAATATTCACTGTGCACCTGCATACTTCCCCCTTGTGTTAGGAAAGGTGGCCCCTCCTGAGGCTGCAGTCTGCAGATTGGGTTATTCAGGCAGAGGAGGGGGAAGGGCAAAGTACATATGAGACCTAGGAGGTAAAATATGGAATTTCTGACTCCTCAGGAATACAACCCTGATAGTCACTGTTTCTCTGTGTATGTGCAGTTGAGCGTGAGTGCATGTGCACAGCTATTTTGTTTTGGCTTCTGTGACAACAAAGCGGCACTGAGGTGACAGCCAGGACGCAGGCAGAGCGAAGAGGTTCATCTTGATAAGCTGTCTGCCGCCTGTGGCCTTATTGAGGCTCTTTGTTAGGTTGTCTGCCAGCCAAAGAGATCTTAAAGAAAAGCTGCTTTGGAAGAAAGCCTGAGATCATTGTGGAGAAGCAGGCGAGAGAGGGGTGGGAGAGGGAAAAGGCTGGGCTAGGGCCAGGAATAGGGGGTCTAATTTCTCCTCTATCAGGTTGTGGCAGGTCTCTCTGGGATTGAGGTCATGGTCTAAAACAAAGATCCACATGCAGAGGTATGTGGGGGGGTGGGGGGGGTCTCTTATTAACCCATGAGGGGTGGGGGAAGCTGCCCTCCAAGGCCAAGTGCCTCACATTCCCAGGGCCCTTTTGCTTGGATTTTCGTCTTCACCATGAGTTAGTACTGAGCCTGCCTATGAACAGTGCCATGAGATATCAGCTCCTGCACAGTAGGTCTATTAGGAGGTACTGGGAGGAGGGCGGCCAGCCTGGCACTGCCCCAGGTAAAGATCCACCAAGGCTCTGACAATAGCTAACAACCCAAGTAGCAAGTGACCAGAACAGGAACCCAAGCTGCCCTGGTGGGTCCCCCAGTAAAGAAGGCTGGGCTTTCTCAGTGTCTGGAGAGGAAAAGCACTATTTGGGTTGTAAGGCAGAAGCTGAACAGAAAGATTTGAAATGATTGAAAGGGTACATGCCTTTGGACCTGGCAGAACACAGTGGATTTGTTGTTGAGGATGTTCCCATGCTCCTCGCCAACCTTCCCATTCTATACCAACCAGCATCTGGCAGTGCCTACCATGAGGAAGTTCTTCGTGTCTCACCTAAATTCTCCATTTGTTAGTGGATTTCCTCCTAGGTCTTCAAGGGAATCAGAGCACAGCTAAATCTCTAGGATTTGAGTCCAGCTCTGTATAGCAAAAAGGAGTCCAGCAAGGTCTCAAACCCCAGAGGCAAGGGACAAAGAGATCTTGTAGAATTTGCTTCCCAATCAAGCAGCTGACACAATGGAATTCACAAGTATTTATTTCATCCCACCATTCTGTGCACTATTCTATGTGCTAGGGATCAGAACTCAGCCACTTGCCTGCTGCTGGCCAGGGTATGCAGGCAGATAGTAAATGGAAATAAAATAAACAAACCACATTGCTTAGAAAAGAAAAGGAGTGATGAGGTAGAGAATAAATAACACAGGGGAGGACCACTCTATCTGGGGAGGCGTCTCCAAGACATGATGTTTGGGCTGAGATCTGATGACAAGAAGGAGCCAGCTGTGTAAAGTTCTAGGGGAAAAGTGTTCCAGGAAGAGAGAACAGTTGACGCAAATGCCCTGGAGTGGGAACAAGTTTAGCATGTTTGAGGGAGAAAGTGACTCCCACTGAAATCAGAGACATCACGGGGCCAGCTCCTTGGAGCTTTGCAGGAACATCACAAAGGTGCTTCAGTTTTGTTCAAAGAGCAGTGGGAAGGCGTTTTAGGAAGCTTTCAGGCAAGGGAGTGATGTGATGTGATCTTCAGGAACATCAAGCTCATGGCTGTGTGAAGAACAGCCATGAAGGGCAGGGAAACCACTTGGGGCACACATAAACTTGGTCTATAGCATTAACCCGAGTAAGAGAGAGGATGGTTCAGCCCAGACTGGTAGCAGGGATGGCGGAGAGAAGTGGACAGACTTATTAAGTTTTTTAATAAGATCTGCAAAACTTGGATGGGATGGGGGAACACGATATTAGGTAGAGAATCTACCTCAAATGGGGAAATCTCAAGGAGCATCAGGTTATGGGAGGAAATGCCAGAGTTAGATTTTGAACATGTGGAGTTTAAAATGCCTACTGTTTACTCAAGTGGAGTTGTTGGTAGGCAGCTGGAATGGCCTAAATTCTGCGAAGGATACCTGGATGCAAAGGACCCAGAACTTGCCTTGGAAGAGCTTATAGCCCAGCTGTGAGACAAAACCCAGAAGAGGAGAACCTTCTCTGTGCCCTACTCCTACCATTTCTACCTGAGAGCCCCCAAAGCCTGTTCCGTTAGGGAAGAATTAACCCCACCCTCTCAATTCCCTCTGTTAGAATCATGGAATTTCTTCCAGCTCAGAAATGTCATGCTCCTATAAGACTTGGCACTGACCAATAGGTAGAGAGGCAGAATCTCACTCTAGAAATAGTCTGAGAGAGCTTGGCCCACAGGAGCCAAGGATGGGGGTAAATAAACATTCCTAAATCCCAAAGAGCTAGTCATTCTAAGCATTAAGGTGACTCCCCTCTGACAATTTTTAGAAGGCTTCTCACTCAGTCTTTCTCTACAAGTGAAAGAAACCGGTGTAAAATGAGTATCAAGAATATCGAGAGTGCTCTTAAAGGAAGAATAAGGGGGAGGGACTGAGGGCCACCAGCAGCCTCAGGAGGAGAGAGATGTGAGAGGGACAAGAGGTGTGGCAACCATGGTTGCTGATCACACCCGCTGTGTCTGTATTTGTCATGAACCAAGAAGTGGGTCCACTTGTCCCCTTCCCTATGACTCCTTTCAGCCACTTGGATCTTGAAGCAACAATGAAGGCCCCATAGAACTCAGATGTTCCCATATCACAGGACCATTTGAGAAGGCTAGCCTGAGTTCCAGCCACAGAATTGCCAGGAGACACCAAGGAAAGGGAGGGGCCTCGGTTTCTTGATCAGTAAACACAGAGCTATAGAATTGAATTGTCCAACATGGCAGCCACCACCCATAGGTAGCTATTTACATTTAATTAAAATTAAATTAAAAATTTATAATTCGGGTCCTCATGTAGGCACATTTCAAGGACTCAGTGGCCACATGTGACTAGTGGCTACTGTATGGGATATTCAGATCTAGAACAGCTTCGTCAACTCAGAAACTTCAATTGGACAGTAATGTTCTACAACAGTGGTTCCCAAAATATGGCTCCTGGACAGCAGCCACAGCATCACCTGGGAGCATTTTAGAAATGCAAATTTTCAGGCCCCACCCCAGACCTACTGAATGAGAAACTCTGGGGACAGAGTTTTACCAAACCTTCCAGGTGACTCTGATGCCTGCTGAAGTTGGGGAATCAAGGCCCTGGTCCAGCCTGGGGCTGGAACTCCAGCCCCTTGACCTTCCCCTGGTCTCTCTCTCTCTCTCATCAAATTTCTCTGGATCATTTCATATTGAAAAAAACAAAAGGATACAATTCTGTATCTCTGTGCCATACCGGAAGTCCAGTCCATTTTAGCTTTTTTACAGATTTTTGAATTGTATGTACGTATGTGTGTTTGTATGTATTTTAGAGAGTGGAAGGAAGAGAGAAAGAGAGAGAGAGAAACATCTTTGTGAGGGAGAAACATCAATCGGTTTCCCCTCGTATGAGCCCAGCTGGGGACCAAACCTGCAAGCTCAGCATGTGCCCTGACCAGGGGTTCTCTTTGGGGGAGTGACACCCAACTAACTGAGCCACACAAGTCAGGGCATTCCAGTCCATTGTAGAAGAGCCATCTCAGCCTTAGGAAATTAGAACAATTGTGATGGAAAGCTCTCCAATGAATGCTATCGGGGTGACTGTAGAATGTCTCGTGGAAAACAGTATAATGGCTGGGAACCCAGGTGCATTCCCATTTTTCAGATGAGGGAACTAAAGCCCAGAGTGGGCAAGTGCTTGCCTCTCAGCCCCTTAGGACTACTGGGGCTGTGTCAGGCCTAGGGGATACAGAGGTTAAGAGCCTTAGAGAAAGACCCATGAGACTTGGTTCAGTATTTAGGGGCTAAGTGACGTGGGCAAGCCATGTAATCTCTGTAAGCCTCCGTGTCCTCAGCTGTGAAGTCTGAATAATAATAGAACTGGTCTGCTGTGTGGATGAAACAAGCTCATGGACATAAATGTCCCTGGCACTCAACACTTTTTCGGTATTATTATATCAGGCAGTAGGAAGTCAGCCTAGATTTTTTCTCTTTCTTTTCAATGTAAGCTGTTTCCCCCACCCCTATCCTTTGGCCCCAAATTTCTCTACATCTATTTGGGAACCAAAGAAGCACCAGTGGCCCTTGTAAGTGGCATCACGGAGAGAGTAGTTTTTGCAAGCTGGAAAGTCTCTAGTTTCCTGGGACCTACCTGCAAACCTGGGATAAGCCAGGTACGAGAGGGGTTGTTACCTCAGCATGGAGATCTAGGAGGTCCCACACACCCAACCCACAGTGGCCATGAATTGCCAGCCACTTTTGGTCACATGACCTTGAACAAATGGCTTGGTCCCTCTGCCTCTATACTTTTCCATCTGTGGGAAAGGGGGAATTGTCTGCCCAGCGCACCTGCCTTGAGGTCCCTAAGACCCAAGGATGACTGCCATCCTCAGTGTTTTCTAGGACCCATGCCTCATCTTCCTCTTGGCCCATTTCTGGTACCATGTGCCATGGAGAGGCAGAAGCCACCAGTCTGTCTTCCTTTCTCCCTGACCTCACTCCCCAGAATCTTGGTCCACGGGCTGCCATCTGACATAGCTCTCCCCATCCCTTCTCTGCCCTGGTACTGTCTCTCCCCTCAGTTCTTGCTGATGCACCCCTCTCTTTAACTGGAATCTACTTTTTTCTCTCACTGTCTCCTCCCTCCTACCACCCACCTCCCCCAAAACAGTGGTGGGCATCCAAATAAGGCTGGACTTCCTACATCACCTGTTCTGGGCAGCCACACAGCAGGTGGGTGTGATGGTGGTGGGGTGAGGTGGGGGCCAGAGAGCTCTCCAACATATCCATGGTGAAGAGGGGCTGGCACTTTCAGACCCACTCCCCGAGCTGCCCCAATGCCTTCCAACCCACCTCCTGGGCCCCCATCAGCTCCTGGATCCTCTCCTCTGCCTTTCTCAGCTCTCAGTGCCCCTGCCTATGGCCTCAGTCTCTGGTCCAAGCCTCTCCAGACAGTGCTCTCTCTCAACTTAGACCTGAGGCAAAGGGCAGGATACCGTGTCCTCTCTGGGCCTGGCCTGCCTTTCACTGCATCTTTGCTGCCCCAGGTCCCCCACACAGCAGAGTAAGGAGACTGCCCTCCTTGGGCCTTCCAGCCATGATCCGAGCCATGTCTGCAGTCACCCCAATAAGAACTCAGCCTTACCACTTCCCTTTCCATTCCACCTCTTGCTCTCCTGCCTTGGCCCCCCAGAGACCTCAGACTTGGTTCCTCCTATACTTTCTAAGGCTTCTCATTGTCCTCCACAAGCTCCTCCAGCCCCAAATCTGCCCCCATGGACTGAGCCTCCTCTGTTCCCTGGCCCCCATTCACTTATCATTTGTTGCTGTGCCCTCACTTCGAGCAAGTTCCAGAAACCAGAGAGTGAAGGTAGAAGGGATGGCAGGGGGAAGGAGCAGCAGCCCAGTAGCCTCGGGTCAGCCACCACATGATGCAGGATGACAAAAAACAGTAAGAAGCCACCCCATGCATCTTTCCAGCAGTGCAGCTGACCCACAGTCTCCCCTCAGCCACAGCTACTGGGGCCAGGGCTCCCTCCAAGAAGGCTGACCCAGCCAGCAAGGACACTGCTTCCCCTTCCCCCCCTACCAGACACTGCCATGCACGTGTGGCACATACCACATCAAATACATGCATGCACACACCCACATAGCTACCAACATGCAATATACACATATCACACACCACACATACCAAATATACACCACATATACCATACATGGATGCACACTGAACGTAGATACCATAGACACACATGTGCAGGTATCACTAGCATGCCATAAACACACATCACCAGTCCCCACACATCAACACACAGACAAATGTACCACACACAGCACTCCCACAATCACACATCACGTATCTACCACACAAATGCCCAGGGCGCACATACACAATTGACAATTTCTCTTCTTCCTTCCAGTGCAGTGCTGGGGATGGGCTGTGCCCACAGAGCTGCCAGGACAGTGTAAGTTCTCCCCCAGTGTGAAGAGGATGGAAGTGGGAGCTGTGGGCCCCTACCCACATCCTCTTGATGGGCCAGCTCCCCTGATCCTAAGTGCACTTCCTCCCTACAGTGCTGGCTCCACAAAGGGCACCTTCTCCTTAGAAACAGACGCTGCCTTCCCAGATGCCAGGACAGGCAGGGACCCGGGGGTTGGGGAGGGAGGGGGCAGACCTCACCTCCCTTCTGGGTGTCTCCCCAGGACCTGGACTGCTTCGTCATCGACAACAATGGGTTCATCCTGATCTCAGGGAGGCCCCAGGAGGTAAGGCACTGGGGAAGTGGGGTTAGGGAGAAGTCCAGGCATCCAACAGCCCTGGCTTCAAAGAAAGGATTTAATGGCCTCGGGAAGTAATATTGGTTTAGAGCCGATTAGAGTGAAAGGTCTGAAGAAAATGGGGTCTCTTCTTGAAACCAAATCCACCATACCAAGATTACGAATTTAAGACACTTTACAACTCAGATGGTCCTAGACAATAATACTTTTTATTTTTATTTTAATATATTTTATTGATTATGCTATTACAGTTCTCCCGTTTTCCCCCTTCACACCCTCTTCCACCCATATTACCCCCTTTAGTTCATGTCCAACTGTCATACTTATAAGTTCTTTAGCTTCTACATTTCCCATACTATTCTTACCCTCCCCCTGTCTATTTTCTACCTGCTATCTATGCTACTTATTCTCTGCATCTTTTCCCCATCTATCTCCCTCCCACTCTTCTGTTGCTAACCCTCCATGTGATCTCCATTTCTGTGGTTCTGTTCCTATTCTAGTTGTTTGCTTAGTTTGTTTTTGTTTTTGTTTTCTTAGGTTTGGTTGTTGATAGTTGTGAGTTTGCTGTTATTTTACTGTTCATATTTACTGATCTTTTCCTTAGATAAGTCCCCTTAACATTTCATATAATAAGGGTTTGGTGATAATGAACTCCTTTAACTTGACCTTATCTGAGAAGCACTTTATCTGCCCTTCCATTCTAAAGGAAAGCTTTGCTGGATAGAGCAATGTTGGATGTAGGTCCTTGCCTTTCATGACTTGGAATACTTCTTTCCAGCACCTTCTTGCCTGTAAGGTTTCTTTTGAGAAATCAGCTGACAGTCTGATGGGAACTCCTTTGCAGGTGACTGTCCCCTTATCTCTTGCTGCTTCTAGGATTCTTTCCTTCATTTTTATCTTGGGTAATGTAATTATGATGTGCCTTGGTGTGCTCCTCCTTAGGTCAAACTTCTTTGAGACTCTCTGAGCTTCCTGGACTTCCTGGAAATCTATTTCCTTTGCCAGATTGGAAAAGTTCTCCTTCATTATTCATTCAAATAACTTTTCCATTTGTTGCTCTTCCTCTTCCCCTTCTGGTACCCCTATAATTCAGATGTTGTAACATTTAAAGATATCCTGGAGGACATCTAAAGATGTTCTAAGCCTCTCTTCTTCTTCTTTTATTTTTTTAATTCTTGTTTTTTCATTCTTTTCTGTTTGGTTGTTTCTTTCTTCCTTCTGGTCCACTCCATTGATTTGAGTTCCAGTTTCCTTCCCATCACTATTGGTTCCCTATACATTTTCTTTTATTTCACTTAGCACAGCCCTCATTTTTTCATCTAATTTGCAACCAAATTCAACCAGTTTTGTGAGCATCCTGATTACCAGTGTTTTGGACTATGCATTTGATAGGTTGGCTATCTCTTTGTCACTTAGTTGTATTTGTTCTGGAGCTTTGATCTGTTCTTTTGTTTGGGCCATTTTTTTGTCTTGACGTGCCTGTTATGTAGTAGTGAGGGGCAGAGCCTTAGGTGTTCACCAGGGCAGGGCAACCCAGTGGCTGGGTTGTGACGCTCTTTGTGGGGCAGGAGTCCAAGAGGGAACAATGGTGCTTGCTCCGCTCTCTGCCAGATTTCAGTCACTTCCCCCAAGCAAACTGGACCCTTCTGGTACTGATTCCTGTGTGGAAATTCCCATTTGTGTATGTTCTAGGACCTTGTGTGTCTTTCCAATGAACTGTCCTGTGAGGCTCGTAGTCTCTCCCAGCACCTCCACCCCCACAGATGTTTTTCAATTGGTGTTTTGAGGCTTTATTTCCTGTGCTGGGACCCCAGGTTGCGTGGTCTGTCTCACTCCCCAGTTTCGCCTGGTTTATCTGTGCACAAATGTGGGACAGCCCAGTCTGTCAGCCACCTTGCACACTGTGCCCCTCCACAATCCACTGCCTTGCTGCATCTGCCAGCTGCCGCCTGTGTGCACGGGTCCTCCAGCCACCGCTTTGCTGCGACTCCACCCCTCCACTGATCTGGATGAATGTGTCTATTTTAACTCCTTGGTTGTTGGACTTCTATACAGTTCAATTTTCTGTCAGTACTGGTTGGTTTTTTTGTTTCTAAATTTTTGTTGTCCTTATTTTGGTTGTAGGAGGAGGCACAGTGTGTCTACCTATGCCTCCATCTTGACCGGAAGTCCTTAATAATACTTTTTAATTTTGTCTGTACCTAATCAGGCTTTGTCCCATGGGTAGTGGGGAAATGGTCCATATACCAAGGAGAAGCTCAGCAAAGCTGCATCTCGGGCCCCCCATTGTTTTCTGTGCTGGGGATGTGTTGCTGGGCAGAGCCTCAGGACACCTTCTCCCAGAGCTCTGCGTACCTCGCTGCTCCAGGCTCCTTAGCTCCTTCCTGCTATCCCGCTGTCATGTCCCCACCCCAGTTGTCCATTTGGGCTGGGGCTGCCATAACAAACAATTACTGACTGGGTGGCTTATAAAACAACAGAAATTTATTGCTCAGCCTCGTGGAAGCCAGAAACCCGAGATCAGGGTGCCAGCCTGATGGAGTGAGGCTCTCACCTGTCTGGGTCATAAACTTCTTGTGTCCTCACATGGTAGGAGGGACAAGAGGGCTCTATGGGGTCTCCTTTACAGGGCATTCAACCCATTTCTGAAGGCTCTGCCCACTTCACCTAATCGCCTCCCAAAGGCTCCACCTTTGACTATCACCTTGGTGGTTGGGTTTCAACACATGAACTTGGGGGAACACTTTCAGATCATAGCTCCCTTCCCTCCTACCTTCTTCGCAAGGTCAGGAGGGCTAAGCCTGCCCTTTTGTGCTGTCTCCCTGCCTGGACCTCTTCTGTGGAAACTTCTAACCCAGCAAATATGCCCCTCGGTGTGCTAGCAAGGAAACAAAGGCATGGAGGTGACCCTTGTGTTGCAGCCTGGCTCATGTGTCTAATTTTCCCCAGGACTGTGGATATCTCCCTGGCCCCACGCATGCTCAGCAAGGCAAAAGAGAAGGTGTAATCATAATTTTGCTTTGCCAAGTCCTACATTGGGCCCCAAAATTAATTGTTTATTTAGCCAGGAATCAAACCTGAGTATCTCCTTGGGAAGTGTTTCCTTGAAACAAGCCAGAAGCATCAAAGTGGCCTTCACACTGACCCTCAATGGAAGGGAAATGGTATTTGGTCCAGAACAAGCTTTCCCCCTGATTAGATAAATATGTGATTGGGGTAAGCAGCTTCCATTAACTGTGACTCAATTTCCTCCTCTCTAAAGTAAGGGGCTTCACAATATGATGTCTAAGGTCACTCTCAATGTCCTGGGTAACAGCAGAGCTGGGAATAGGCCAGGGCCATGGCAGTCCCCTGCCCTGGCATCAGCAGAGCCAAGGAATAGGAAGGAGATGCGAGAAAGAGGGCAGTGGAAGAAGGGGCCCCAGTGGCTCATGGAGTCTGAGTACTTGGAGAGAGATTTTGAATGACCTACTTCTGTGGGGCCCGTCTCAGCAGCAGGCATGAAGAGGAAGATGGTTTTGCCCATTTTCCTCTGTAGTGGGAGTCAGGGGCCAGCTGACCCTTGAGACATCTGGTGCAGGACTCGGACTGCTGATCATGCACTACTGTTTCCTGGGTCCCTCTGCTGTGGCCCCTTGTCCCTTTCATGCCCCCTCTTGGCCACATCACTCTTCCCTGGACTGAGCAGCCGTTCAGTTAGTGCTTCTCAGCCACCCTGGGAGAAAATAACGATGACGGAAGTTGAAACCAGTGGTTGGAAAGAGGCTTTGGGCTTATCTGATGCTCTCAATCATTTATGTGCTGACCCTGCTGCCCTGGGAACTGAGATGGGCAGTGTCTCCAGGTCCCCGTGGTGTTAGCTTTCAAGGACCAGAGTTTCAGAGAGAGTGTGGAAGGCTGGACCCTGGGGAGGAGAGCACAGGGCACAGGGGGCAGGGAGCTGCACCGGAGAGGCCCGCTCTGGAGCAGCCATCAGCATGGGCCCCGTAGCAGAGCACAGAAAGCTGTGCACATGCTTTCTGGGCATGCTTTCGCCCTGACAGCCACTGCCTAGCTCCACAGGGGCAGTGTAGATGCAGCCACCTGCAGCATGGTACTGTGAGCATGGCTTTGTTCCGATAAAACTCAATTACAGATCCTTACATTTGAATTTCACATAATTTTTATGTCATGAAATATTATTAATATTTTGAGTTTTTTCCAACCATTTGAAAACAGAAACACATTCTTAGCTCAAGGGCCAGGTTGGCCCCCAGACACCTGCTTGAGAGGCAGCAGGACAACCTGGAGAGAGCAGGGCTGGTGACAGGCGCTCCTGAGGGGCCCTTTGCTTAACTCACTGTGGCCCTGCTGAACACTCGCTCACATCGTCACAAGCCATGACACCACAGGGTACAGCTTTGGCTAATATATGATAGCAAACAGCTCTTCAGAGGTTTATATTTTATAAAGCATGTGTTTACTTAGCTTATTTACCCATTTTCTCAGCTATTGTATTGTTTCGTAATGTCGTATGTAGTTTTACAAATCCCTTGAAAAATGAAGCAGAGTACAAATGAAATGAAATTCAATCTTCATTAATAGGGTTGGGACCTACTGGGAACTCCTCCAGAGCCCCAGGCTCCCACTGAGCCTGGTCACCCTCGCCTTGGTCACAGCCCATGCTCCCCCTTTTCCTCCCCGCCACCGTGAGGCCCCAGGAAAGGTGGGGGACACCTTCCTCTGATCAGCTCTGGGGGTGATTTCAGTCTCCTTTTATGCCAGGGGAAAACTGAGACTCTGTGAGGGAAGCTAAGCTGGGAGAGTGTGGGTTCTAATGGAAATCAAGAATTTGTTGGGCAAAGCGGGTAAGCCCAGGGAGAGGGGCCTTCTCTGGAGAGGGTTTCAGGCTGCAAGTCTGGGTCTAGGGCAGTCATCCTCCTGCCTGGGCCCCTGCCCTAACTCACTCTGTTCATGCTCAGGGCAGAGGTCACTCGCACAGCTGCACTGGTCCGAGTCACACAGAATTAGAACCAATGCTCTAGGACCCTGAATACCCAGGCCAGAGACACCAATGGTAAAAGTAGTGCCCAGTAGGTGTCCAGGCAAGGCCATCCATCCATCTGTTTTTACTTTTTAAAAAATTAATTCATTTGATAGCTCTATAGCAGTTATCTATTGCCGCATAACAAATTACCCCAAAATGTAATAACTTAAAACCACAAGACTTACTATCCCCCAGTTCCTGGGGGTGACGAATCCGGGTGTGGCTTAACTGGTTGAATGGCTCAGAGTCTCTCATAGGCCTGTAATTAAGGTACCAGCCAGCTCTGCTCACTCAAGCTATTTCAAAGCTCAACTATAGGAGGCTCAGCTTTCAAACTCACCCCCACGGTTGCTGGCAGGTTCTGGTTGCCAGGTGGGCTTATCCAGAAGATAGATAGCTCTCGCCCAGAAGATAGCTCTCACCCAGAAGCCAGCTTCACTGGAGCAAGAACAAAGAGAGGAGAGGAAGATAGAAGTTAGTCTTGGGAGCCTAACCTCAGAAGTGACATCTGGTCAATTTTACCATATTCCATTCACTAGAAGCAAGTTACCAGGTCCGGCCCACCCTCAAAGGGATGAGTTAACACAAGGCATGACTAGGAGAGGCTGGGCCATTGTGAACCATTTTAGAACCATCCCACCACACATTCCTACTCAACCAACCAAACTTGCCCACCCAAACACATCCAAATGCCAACCAAGGGCCACAAGTCTGGGTCAATCCCAACCTAATCCTTTTTCCCCGACTCACCCCTTTCATCTCAAGACTTCAAAGCATGGAGGGGGACCAGCAGCAGCAGCAGCAGCAGCATCTGGGAGCTTGATAGAAATGTATGTTCCCAGGCCCCACCCCAGACCAAAGGAATGAGAAACTCGGGGTGGCCCACCCTCCAAGCTGCAGCACAACCCCTGGCAGTTCTAGCGTGTGACGGGGTCTGAGCGCCACTGCCTTGGCCCTAGTGCCAATTGCTGCTGATCTGGATGCACTGTCTGGACTGGGTTAATGTGCTAGAAGTTCCAGGCTACTTCTTGTCCCTACAAAGGTCCATCCAGGGCCTGGGGACAGAAGCCTGTCACTATCCCAGATGTCATGATTCTTTCCGGACAGAGTCCTTCCCGGCCCTTCTTCATGGAGACCCTCCTACCCAGCCATTGCAGGAGTGCAGAAGCCCAGGGCGACCCCTGCGGCCTGACTCCGCCAGGCCAGGCAGTACAGTAGGAAGGGAAGAAAGGACTGACCCCCACTAGAAGCCATGTGCACTGATTTCACTCTGGTGATTCATTTAATCCTCACACCCGTTAAGAGTGTTTTCCCATTTTTAGAGAAGAAACCAAGACTGTCCCTAGGCAAGGAGGCCATATAACATTTGATCCATTCCAACACCAGAGGGAATCTTGGCCTTACTTCACCCTCTGGCCCCACTTCTTGGGGCCAGCACACTCACTCAGGCATTCCAATTAGCCCATGTCCGGGCACTCACCAGTTCTGCATTCTTGGCTGCCACGTGCCCCATCTGCTTCCTGCTCAAGGCTACTGGTAGACACCTCACAGGGCCTCACCTGTCTCTGGGCCTCCTTACAGACTGGAAAATCTGGAGCCCCAGAGTCCTATACTCGGCCACCTGGTGGACCATTGCATATGTGGGGGTTGCCCTCAATGAGAACGGAGCCCTGCCCTGGGGCGAGCAAAGCTGGTGAACTGGTAGAGCTCCCAGAGTCCCTTAGGCTGTAAAGAGGCTATAGTCCCCCCACCGTGCTGTGCTGGGTGTCCCTATGCATTCAGTTTGGGGGGCCTAAATTGACAGGGTACCCAAGGTTGAATGGTTGGACCTTGGCTTTGTAGATTCAGGAAATTCAGTCAGTTTACCTATTTGAGGCACTGATTGACTCTGAGTTCAGATGAAACTGTATAAGCTAGGAACTGTGTTCTACTGCCAGGCATAGAATCCCCACTATAGTGACTTGAGCAAATTAAAGGCTTATTCCCTCACATAAGGAATGGGTGGAGGCAGCCCAGCCCGAGTATAGTAGCCAGGTGCCCCCACACTCCAGATCACAACATGGGTACAGGGGCTCCTGCCATCTAGTCCACTTTCCAGACAAGAAGGAGGGGGAGGGTGCCCTGTCTGCAGAGTTGTCTCCCTTTCAACAGATTTCCGAAGGCCTGTTGGCCAGCCCCAACCACAGGGGAGGTTGGGAAACGTAGTCTTTCAGTGGAGTATATTGCTATTGTAATTAAAGCAGGATCTCCCTACCAAAGACAGGAAGGATGGGTATTCTCTGCCAGCATGACATATCCTTGAAGTCAAGTCATCTATTTACACAGGAGGATACATTTTTTTCCAGTGTCTAGAAGCTTGTCTTACTCTCAGGGACTTCTCAGTATCACGTGTCTAAACAACAAGGGTTTTGGTGAATAAGCCTCGAATTAGGGAGGAGAAGGGGACGGCCTCATAAGGAGCCTCAATTCCACCTCACTGCACTTTCCCGGGGAGCAGAACACTCACGCCATTTCGCAAGCCCCCTTGTCTGTGTGCTCACACCATCCTTCAGCACCATGCAACACTGTGAGCAAGACCCTGTGTGGTCTGCAGAGAGCAGAGGCGGGTTTCTGCCTGCTGGGACACCGCCATCTGGTGAGCAGGAACACGGGTGGGCGCAGTGACTGGAACAGCAGAAAGGGAGCCCCAGCTGATAGGGAGCCCTCTACCCACAGGAGCTTCAGGTGGCTTCAGGGCTGCGCCTGGAGGAACAGGCACGATTGGATAATCCTGGGCTTCCTATTTGTCATTCTGTCCCTGGAATGCCCTTGACTCTTCCACGCTGTCCCGCTGCTGTCCACTGCCCTCTGCGAAGAAGCCCCTCAGGCCTCCCAGTCACAGCACAAGGGCCTCCAGGCACTGAGAGCAGCGCTCAGATAAGTCTGAGCTCCCATTTCTCTCCCGTGTGTTCCTGTGGCCAGCCGGAAGTGTTTCAGTGTTGTGGTGCAGAGAAATGAGACATTCATTCTGCCTGGAAAGGCAAGAAAAGAGGCTTCTGAGAGCAGGGCATGAAGGAAGGCTCCTTGCAGTGCAGACTGGGGAAGGGTAATAGAAGCAGGGAGGAGAGCCAAGATCCTGGTGACTCCTTGTCACACTGGCCACACCTTATCCAGTACTTGCTGAGAGCCCAATGCTGGGCATGCATCTTCCTCAAGCCTCCTAACCTCCTGCCCATGGTCATGCAGCAAGCGGTGAACATGTGGCAGGGCAGCGGGTGCAGTGGGGCTCTGGGCTGCACAGCAGGCAGAGGGTGAGCTGACCTTGTTGGCTTGGAGGACACCCAGCACCCAGTCAAGTGCTCACCTAGTGTTGGTGGATTGGGTAGTGAAAGGGATGGATGGGCAGGGTGTCCTGTTTCAGGAAACAAAGATGACAGCAACCAAATCCCAGCTGTGTGTGAGGACACTGTCTGGCAGCAGTGACTGGGGCCTGGGAGAAACTGCAGAGAGGACAAGGGTTTAGTCTAAGTCACTATTCCTGGAGTCTGGTGGTGAATGACAGATCCACAGGAAACACGGATTAACTGGAAAGGGGGGAGGGCGGGAGGGAGAGGAAATCAAAGGCAGCTGAGCTCTCAGATTCCAGCTGGGTGACAAGCATGGCAGTGCAAGAGACAGAGTCCCGCTTTTGAGTGTTTTGTGGCCAAGACACACACACACACACACACACACACACACACACGCAAATATGCAATTAAGTTCCACAAAACCCTGTCTAACCTTGCTGCAAGTGATTCACACTGATTTGTTCAAAGAAATTGTGTAGCTTAAAAAAAAACGTGGTTGCAACCCCTAGATTGATTTTATAGCCAACTAATGGATTACAATTAAGAGTTTTCAAAACACTGAGATGAGAATATATGGCAGAAGAGCAGATCAGAAGACCGGCTTTGATTAGGTTGAAGGGCTCCTACAGGGAAAGCCCCAGTGGCAGCTGAAGTCTGGAGCTCAGAAATGAGTCATGGGCCAAGGCGAGAGATTTAGCCTCCTCACCCCACTGTCTCACACTCTCTCTCTCTCTCTCTCTCTCTCCCCCAGATAGGAAGATTTCTGGGGGAGGTGGATGGCGCTCTCATGACCCAGCTGCTCAGCACGGGGGTGTTCAGCCAGTAAGTGGGATGCCTTCTCCCTGCCTGCATACTCACAGGAAAGGCAGAACTTGAGGCTACACCATCCAGACAGGTCTCAGGGTCCTGACCTCCAAAACCCACAGTGAGAGCCCCAGAGTTCTCCAAAAACAACCTTTCTGAAGCCAGAGACCTGACACGAGGTGGGGAGGGGCATAAGGACATGTGGGCCCTTAGAAGGGAAGCCAAACTTGCTATTCATTCCCTTTAAAGCAAAGTGCAGAAATGGAACTTTGGGCACATGCTCTGTTCTGATCGCCTGTCCTAACTCAGGGACTGTTGGGAATCTGGGTGAATAAAACCCTCTGCAGACTCCCCTGGGGCAGGGGCAGGGGCCGGGGCAGGGGCAGGGGCAGGGGCAGGGGCAGGGGCAGGGGCAGGGGCAGGGGCAGGGGCAGGGGATGGTCTGGCCTCGCCATGCAGCCATGCTCCATTTCTGGTTTTCAGAGTGACCTTGTACGACTATCAAGCCATGTGCAAACCCCCGAACCACCACCACAGCGCAGCCTGGCCCCTGGTCAGCGTGAGTGTCACCCCAGACCTCCCCTCCATTAGCCCGAAAGCCCTGTACCTCCCCTAAAATGAGGCTCCCTGGTCCCTGGTCTCACCCAGCCTCAGGCATCTGGCCCAGGGCCTCACTTCTGACCCTGACCAAAAAAAAGTCCTCTCTCACTTCTGCCTACTCCCACCCCAGCCCTGCAGAGCTTACCTACAGGACCTCTGGCATGGCAGTGTGGTCGCACAGATCACTGGGGACCCTAGGCCCTGCTGTCTACCCCAGGAGGCCTGCCCTCCAACAGGGGTTTCTCAGATACCAGGGCTTTCCAGGCTCCCTCGCTGCAGGGATGGGAGTGGTGCAGCAGGAGGGAGTGTCTCAGGGCTGTGGTCTCTGACGGAACACCCTGGCCTGGCCTCGGGTTAACGGTTTGTCCCCCTCCTCCCAGCCCATCTCTGCCCTCCTGACTGTGACCAGATGGCTGGTGAATGAGCTCTTGCTGTGAGTAGGAGGTTGAGGTGGAGGAGGGGGATGGGGAAGGGCTTGGGGACTTCATGCAGGTGTGTCCTCTGAGGGAGCCTAGAGGTGGGGGTTGAGGTCTGGGGAAAACCCATCCTGTGTGTATGGGCCTCCTCTTTCCTGCTGCTGCCTGGGGCACCTCTCTGCTCGGCCATGAACCCTCAGGCAAGAAAGAGAAGGTTTTAGAGAGCAGGCCTGGCCTGGATGAGCTAGGAGCTCTGGTGCTCCAGCCCCTCAGGTCCCCGAGCTCAGCGCTGTGTCTGGCAGGTTTCTGCTGCAGTGGAGCACCTGGGACTCCTGGTGCACGCCCAGCGGGGCCGAGGGTGAGTACGAGGGACTGCACAACTGGATGAGTGACACTGATGCCATTTCACTCAGCCAGGAGGGGGGACAGACAGGGTGGGCGGTCTGGACAGTTCATTGCTCAAATCTCACCCTGCTTGAACTTCTCTCATCACCTTCCCCTCACTCCTGGCTCCCCTCACCTCTCTGTGACACCATACCATCTCGGGACACCACTGCTCCATGTGACATCATTCATCCCATGTGACATCACCACCTTGTGACATCCTGACCTCGTGTGACATTATGCCCATGCTGGGCCTCATGCTGTGGGCAGCCAAGGCTGTTTTCCATCACTGTAAGTAGCACCTGCCCTGGAGCCAGGGTGAGGGGAGGCAGCATGGAGCTGCAAAGGCCCATCCTCAGCTCTCTGTTAAAGGGGTGCACTCAAGAGGGCTGAGCTGTCTTTCTCCCAGGAACCCCAACTCAGGGGACCTTGCCCAGGTAAAGCCCCTTCTTTAGGGGCAGGGCTGCAGCCCAGACTCACCCTGTGTCGGGACTTCAACCATCTCCTCACATGAGAACGTTCACGGTTCCGAGAAGAGAGGGTGATGTGGTCCAGTGGCTGTGACCACACACAGGCGAGAGGCCACCAGGCCAGCCTGCAACACATGAACTATGGTGCCTCCAGCTTAGGTGTCCCCCGCATCCTGAGCTCAGAGTTGAGGGCGTGACAGGCAGAGGCCTCGTCTGGTCACAGGCACAATCCTGGCGTAACACCTCTCCGGTGACCTTCTCTCTGAGGACAGCGTCCCCCGAAGGTCTGACCACAAATCTGAGAACTTATCCTCACTGTCAGCCACTGTGACTCTAGGCCACATTCCCAGGGCAGTGAGGCCCCTTGATCTTTAACTGCAGAGGGGCGTCAATCACTTCCGCTGCCTGGGTGGCCGGCGGTCCCTGCACCACACAGGGCCACGCCACTGCACCAGTTGTGCTCAGCCTCTCTGGCTCACACGGCCTTCTCCGCAGTGTCCTGTGCCTTCTCCACGGCTGGTGGCACTCCCAACCCCTTCTTTTTCACAGTTTTGGCTCCCTGATGAGAAAATAACTTCCACCTCTGCCCTCACTCTGGCTGTAAGAGAGGCATCCTCTGACCCTCAGCTCATGTGGCCAGTCCAGGCCATGCTTCCAGACTCCTTTTGGAAATCACACCCCACAGTCTTCACAGGACCACTCTGGGGACAGTTCATAGTCACTTGGTGTTTGCAACAGGAACCATGAACCATGTGTCACCACCCATTTAGAAATAGGTCCCTCCTCCCCTCTACATGGGAACACAGGGTCAGGGACAGCAGCTATGTCTTAAAAAGTTGAGAATGACCTCCCTCGCTCGGCTTGTTCGGAATTGCTCATCTTTAGGGTGGCTGTCCCTGCTCCTCCCCAGCCTGCCCAGCAGGCCTACTTCGGCCATGCGCCCCCGTCCTGGGTGAGTGAGCACTCAGCCCACAGTCAGAGGGCACAGCTGCGCAGCCCTGGGGAAGCCACCCGCCTATTGCTATTGGTATGGTTACTCTTATTGTCACTGACTTACCCACGAGGTAGCTCAGCTGACAGGGCAGACAGGCCAGCCCGAGCCACTGGGTTGAGGCCAGTGTAACTGGGCACCGGACAGGAGCCAGCCCCACCCACAGGCTTCAGCCTGAGCTCCACTTCCCAACCCTGGGGCGCCCGGAGAGTGCAGCTGCCCAGCGGCCACCCCTGAAGGTCAGTGTGATCACGGCTGAAACCTGACCACAGGGGCAGACCCCCAGCTGTGGTCGTTCCTCTCCATTGGGCCTTCTCGCCCTGCAGGCTGGCCTCCCCTCTTGCCATCAAAGTCTGGTGGCCTGTCTCTGGGGGTTAGAGACTTATAGCTCCCTGTTGACCTTTGTGTGACCCTGCAAAAGGTCATATGTACAAAATGGAGGGACACTGCTGGCTCTGCTTTTTCACAGAGAGACTAAGAACAAAAGGACAGGTGTGAACAGTGCCTTGAAGAACTGGTAATGGTGTATTAACAAAATGGCACTGCTATTTTAAACAAAAATACTGTCATTCAACCCATGAGCTGGCCTTGTTTGCTTTTCGCTCACCTCAGAAGCAATTGTGGGCCCTCCAGGGCAGACTGCCAGGATGCTTCTTGGTGCTGAGTCCTTTCTGACTAAATGCAAGTGCACCACACAGACATGCCCTCAGGGGCCCCAAAGGTTGGCAGCAGTCAGCAGGAAGGAGCCCCTGCTCTCAGCTGTCCCCTAGCTCCCACAGCCACACACTGGCCCTCACTGCTCTGCTCAGGGACCAGCAGCAGGGATGGGAGAACAGGCCCAGGGCTTGTCCAGGACATGCACTTGCAGGGCACCTTAGCTGGGCCCAAGAACACGTCACCTGTCCATACTGAACGGAAGGGGTGATGGGACGATGAAGCTGAAGTCTCCCCCAAGCCACACCTTGGCGCTCTGATAGCCTCTGTTTTCCTCTCCGACCCTGCACATCGATGCTGAGAGAAATCTTCAAGAAAATGCACTCTCCCTCACCCAACTGCAACTTACAGTGGGGGTACATGCTCTCACAGGCAATGAGTGGTTTTCCCAAGGTCATGGGGCTAATGTGTCAACCACACACAACTGACCCCCAAAGTACCTTTAAGCCTGGTCTGCTGCCCTTCCCACTGTGGTCCACTCCCCTCCTTTGATTCTGTTCCTTTTCCTGCCTTGTTTCTCTCCTATCCCACCCCTGCTTTACGTGTCCTGAGAGCCTTCTAACAAGGGAGCCATCTGTAAAGGGACTGTGGGCATTTTACTGTGCAGTGACCATGGTGGCCCTGGAGGTGCTGAGCCTGAGATCCCCACAGGCATGACTGCTCAGGCCCTTCAGGTTCCACAACGCTCTCTCTCGCATCTGCGTCTGTCTCCCCACAGCCCACAAGCACCAGAAGCAGGACATGCTGCAGCCCTGCCACACCAAGTACACTGTGTTTGTTCACCAGAGGGCCGTCCAGGAGGCCAATGGGACCATCGAGTGCGGGGCCTGCCAAAAGTAAGATCTGAGGGTGCTCTCCCTGTCTCCAGCCTCGGGGCCAGGCATGGTCACTCTCAGGAGGTCATCTCCGCATGGGGAGAAAGGAGGAGTGCCCTAAAGAAAAGATCGTGCCCCTGGGGTCTTTGTTTCCCTCTCTCTCAGTGAAGGAAACACAGGCCCAGGCCAAGGGTATGAGGGAGGAAGCCAGTCGGGGGCTGCTGTGCCATATTAGGGGGCCCGTGGAACATGATCCCAAGGCCAACAAACTCTTGTCAGCAAGTCCATCCCTGCCCCAGTCTCCAAAGCCATCCCAGACAGAAAAAAAAATGATCCCATAATTCAGTGTCTGTCTCACTCACACCTGCGCAGCAGCTCAGTCAGGGCCATGCAAGTTGAACTCTGCCAGCGAGAACTTGGATGGACGGCAAGGATAGATATGAGGAAAGAAAGAAGTCAGCTCTCTCTTAGAAATCTGTGCAGAGAATGGAAAAGCTTAAGGCTGTACATCAGCCTTAAGGCGTGGGTGGGCTGGCACCTCTACTCCTAGGCCCTCAGCCTGCGTGTGGGCCCCACCTGGGCTCAGGCTGTCCTCCATGTAGAGGACACTAGATCCAAGCGGCTCTGCCCAGCCCTGGCCCAGAAAGGCAGGGCAGCCTGAATGAAAGTTCTCTTTTGCTGACTCTCTCCCCTGACATCAGGGACCCCTCACCTGGGAAGTTCTGCCCTGGCCCAGCAGGCTATGGCCTCCTCCAAGGTGTCATCCTGGCCAGCCTTGCCATTCGCCAAGGGTTTCCCAGGACGTTTTTGAAAGACCCCAGACTTCAAGCAAATCACTTTATAGTGTAATAGTTCAGGCTCTGGCATCTCTCACTCTCAGGTAATGTCAGGCAGGGTTTTAACTGTGCCACAGCAGCCCTCTTGGGACTATTATTTGTGCACTTAGCTCAAAGGCTTGTAAGAGTCAGGTAAATGGTATGTTGCAAAGACTTTAGAATAGACAAACCTTGAATTTAAAAAGTGGCTCTGCTACTTCCTAGCTATGTAACCTTGGGCAAGTTACTTGGCCAATTCTAGCCTGTTTTCTCATCCACAAAATGGGAATAATAACCACTTCATATAGTATGGTGAAGGTTATGTACACGTATACATATGTGTGCATACATGAAACCATCCATCCCAGAGGAAATGCTCAGTACGGGGCAGCTGTTATTATGTAACACAGCTGGCCTTCTGCATAATAGTTTTTCCACAATCCTTCACGCTCTCCCCCATCATTGGATTCCTGCGCAGTATGCAGGGATACTGTGCCACCTAATGGCCAAGACTAAGCATAGCACCTTCCCTCTGTGGCCTGCCCCCACCACATTCACCCAAAGCAAGGATAGCCACACAATGTCTATTTGCTTGGCACAGTCCTAATTTATCCCTGTTGTCCCTGAATATATTCATAAAAACTCATTTCACCCTCAAAAATGTTTGTTTGGACTCCCTCACCTTCTCCAATCTGCTAGGAAAGGAACATTTACAAAGGCTTGTGGGTAAAATAAACCAATAGGACTGTCAGTTGCTGACTATTCCTGTAGCTGCCACTGATCTGATCTGCCTTGTGGTCCCACTTCTTCTCCTGCAACCCCAACTCCTCACCAGAAGTCTCCAGAAGGGGTGTTTTCCTCTTGAAGCCCAATGTCAAGCCCACCATGGGGAAGTTCCATGGCCCCACCTCTCTCTTTGCTTCAGGGTGTTTGTGATGCATCAGATTCCCAACAGTAACCTTCTCCTTCTGGTGACAGACCCCACCTGTGACTGTAGCATCTTCCCACAAGTCCTACAGGAGACTACAGAAGTCAAATATATCCTTCCAATTTCCCAGGGAGTGAGGGGTGAGGGAGGCTGGCGGTGCAGGAAACCTTGAGGGACTCAGACTTTGAAGCCCACCAACATCCTGCCCTCCTCCACAGCATCATTATTTGTCCTCCAACCCTCCCCTCAGGGCCCTGGGTGTTGTCTCCTGACCCTGGAAGCCACTTGTAAGGCCGCTGGTCCTACCTCAGGTAGGATCTTCCAGAATTTACTCTCTAGAATCAGCTCCTATCATGAGATATTTTTGCCTTAACAGTGAATTCTGCACATAATGCCTCTCTCAAGTGTGACAGGATGCGCTCCCAGAAGCTCCGCCAGCGACCAGACTCCTGCCATGCCTTCCATCAAGAGGTGGGGGCTGCAGGGGGCAAGGGGTGGGGCTCCATCTTTCTCCCCAAGTCCTAAGCTCTATGGCTGTGTATGTGCACCTGGACACAGAAATACAACTGAACATGCACACTTTCATACATGTGCATCAAATACCAGGTCAACCAAGAGTCAAGGGGGCTGCTACGAACACAGCACAGTCCCCAGGGTTTTGGCCCTCAGTAAACCAACATACAGCTTCCCCATACTATTCTCATTGCCACTGCACTTAGCTCCAAATGACCTCAGCAAACAGGAGGAAACCATTATGTGCAAAATACTAATGGTAAGCAACATTTATTGAGCACCCACAAGTGGCAAGCCCTGAGTTGGGTCCTTCATACACAGTACTATCTTTGCTGGATGCAGCTGCCACAAAGAACCCACAGCTAAGGTGCTCCCAGAGTTAATGGTTCCCTGAAGTCATTCTGAGAGGATGACCCCACAGTCACTCCAAGACTAGGGGCAAGCAGACAAGTCTTGAACCCAGCTCTGGAGCTGAGTGTACAGCTCTACTTTCCCGTAAAAGGTAGGGGTCTAGGGAAAGTGGCAGTGCTTCCTTCACTTCCTGAAACTTCCCTCTTTCCCAGTTTTTGGGCCCTGTTAGTCCCAGACACCCCTGTCCTACTCCTTGTCTCCTCTGGCTGCAGTGGCTCCTCCACCCTGAATGCCGCCCTTTCCTCTCTGCTCTGGGTTCACAGGAGAATGCCCAGGACTGTGGCGGTGCCTCAGAAACCTCAGCCTCTTGCCCCTCACTCCTGCTGCCTCTGTGTGCCTGGCTGCTGCCACCCCAGCTGCTGCAGTGACACTTACTCTCTGACCTCTGTTATGACAAGGTGATCTTTCCAGAGACATTTTATAGTGTCAGCAACTGATGTGGGAGCCAGCTCACTACAACTGAGCTATCACCCAGGTCGTTGCTCATCTCAACCTTGAGCTAATGGTCCCTGCCTTCTAAAGTTGCTGGATACAAGCAGAAACCCCTTCCTGAAGACTAGGGTGCCTGGAACTAGCCCCCGCATCAACGAGCACATCTCAGCCTTCCCAGCATGAGCTCAACTAGGATCAAGACAAAACGATTTAGTTCCATTTATTCTCCAGAAGTCCAGACCCAGCCAAAGAAACAGTCATCTGCTTCCCATGAACCTGTTTGGTCTTTAGTAGAACCCAAGGACTTAAAGGTACTGAGAAAGAGGAGCAAAATTTGACCAACAATACCAACAGCAGGAATGAGACAAAGGCAAGAAGAAGCCCCTGCCTAAAACATTCCTGCCTCAGCATGGGATGCACGGTGGGGGCAGCTCAGTTTCTTTCCTTCGGCTGCTCAAAAAAGTTCTAATTCTGTGTGTGTGCACATACACGCATGAGAGAGAACAGGGAAGTGAATAGTAATGGGACACATGGCGGCAGACATATGTCTGCAAACTACTGCTATTAAAAAAACTTCTAGACTTCTGGTCAAGATGGAGGCATAGGTAGACAAACTTATACATTTGCCTCCTCTCACAATCATAAGAATTACAACTAACCCAAAACAAAAAACACTCAGAACTGCCAGAAAATTAAACTGTATGGAAGTCCAACAACCAGGGATTTAAAGAAGCCACATTCATCCAGACAGACAGGAGGGGCAGAGCCGGGGAGCCGGGGCAGGAATGGCATGGAGAGGTGGCAGCAGAATGAACTGTCCCACATTCACATGTGGCAGGTAAAAATTGGGAGGGTTAGCTCAGACACAAGCGATCCCAGCTCCAGGCCAGACTGTGCGGCCCAGGGTTCCAACACCAGGGGAAAAAAGCCTCACAACTTCTGGCTGTAAAAACCAATGGGTGTTGGGGCAGCAGAATAAACTGCCAGTCTCAGGAGAGTCCATTTAAAGGACCTGCATGATTCTACAACATACACGAACCCACCCGCTCTGGGAATCACCACCAGGCAGCAGCTAGAAGGGTGCCAGGCACATACAGGAAGTGGGTGAAGTAACTGGAAAATGGACGAGTGCTGGGCAAGCCTCCAGAGGCCAGGCAGTGGCACTGTCCCTTCTCAGACCCCTTCTGGCCCTCACAGCACCACAAAGTGGTAAAGCGGGTTGACTCACCCTTGCAAATACCTAAGGCTCCACCCCTTACAACTTACCTGGTGTGCTAAGACAGGGAGTCAAAGCAGCTTTACCTGATACACAGAAACAAACACGGGGAGGTTGCCAAACAGGGGAGACAAAGAAATATGACCTAAATGTAAAAAGAGAACAAAACCCCAGAAAAAGAACGAAGCAAAATGGAGATTGTACCAACCAATCATATTCAGAATCAAAAACAGTGGTGATCAGGATGTTCAGAGAATTCACTGAGTTTGGCAAACACATAAGGCAAGAAATAGAAGCTACATTAAGTGAAATAAAGAAAATTCTACAGGGAACCAACCAACGGTAAAGGGAAGAAAGCTGGGACTCAAACCAATGATTTTGAACAAAGGAAGAAATAAACATTCAGCCAGAACAGAATGAAGAGATAAGAATTAGCCCTGGCTGTCATGGCTCAGTAGTTTGAGTGCTGGCCTGTGAATCAAAGTGTCACTGGTTCAATTCCCAGTCAGGGCACATGCCTGGATTGCAGGCCAGATCCCCAGTAGGGGGTGTGTGAGAGGCAACCACACATTGTTTCTCTCTCTCTCTCTCTTTCTCCCTTCCTTCCCCTTTCTAAAATAAATAAATAAAATCTTTAAAAATTTAAAAAATGAGAAGAGTGTAAGACTCTGGGATATCTCCAAAAGTACCAACATATAAATAATAGGAATGGCAGAAGAAAAAGAGGAAGAGAAAGAAATTGAAAACTTATTTGAAAAAATAGTGAAAAAAAACTTCCTTAATTTGGTGAAGGAAATGGACATACAAGTCCAGGAAGCACAGAGAGTCCCAATGAAGTTGGACCCGAACAGGACCACACCAAGACACCTCATAATAAAAATGCCAAAGGTTAAAGATAATCTTAAAAGCAGCAAGAGAAAATGAGAGGGTTACCTACAAAGTAGTTCCCATAAGACTCAGCTAATTTCTCACAAGAAACTTTCCAGGCAAGAAGGGGCTGGAAAGAAGTAATCAAATTCATGGAAGGCAAGGACCTACATCCCTGATTACTCTCTCCAGTGAAGCCAACATTTAGAATGGAAGGGTGAATAAAGGTAAAAGTTTTATTCCCAAGGTAAAAACTAAAGGAATTCATTATCACCAAGCCATTATTACATGAAATGTTAAAGGGACTTACTTAAGAAAAAGAAGATCAAAACTATGAACAGCAAAATGACAACAAACTCGTAACTATCAACAACTGAATCTAAAAAACAAAAACAAAAACTAAGCAAACAGCCAGAACAGGAACAGACTCATAGACGTGGAGATCATTCAGAGAGTTATCAGCTGGAAGGGGAAAGAGGGACAATGAGGGAAAAGGTACAGTGATTAAGCAGCATAATTGGTAGGTACAGAATAGACAGGGGGAGGTTAAGAACAGTATAGGAAATGGAGAAGCCAAAGAACTTATATGTACAACCATGGACATGAACTAAAGAGGGCATTGCTGAAAAGGGGGGGGGGTACTAGGCAGAGGGGGGGCAAAGAGGAAAAATTGGGACAACTGTAATAGCATAATAAATAAAATATATTTAAAAAATTTTTGCAAAGCCCTAGCATTAAAGAACTTTCACATCTATAAGAAATGCTGCCACATTGGAAGGTAAGGCAGGTTCAGCAGAGGCAGCAAACATGGCTGAAGTGCAGTAGAGAGGTCCCAGGGAAATAGCAGGCCCTCCCACCAGCATGAGGTAGAGTCTCCTGAGCGCTGGCTCCACACTCTCCAGGAGGTCCAGGTCCCATCATGGTATTTTACTGGCCACTAGTCTACAAAAGAGACTCCCTGGCTCTGTTCCTGGGGCTGGAACTTTTAGGAACATCCCAATTTGCCAGGCACAGTCCACCAGGAAGGGAGCTCGCTTTGGAAACTCACTCTCCACATATATACTACTCCAGAGGCTTGAGACCCTGGAATTTCCTCCTCCCTCTCCCTCAGACCTGGCTCCTATGAGACAGCAGTCTCCACTGTGAGAGCAACATTAAAAGCAGTACTATATAGGAATTCTGGGGTGGCCTCAGACCTTTCCTTGTCACCAGCCTCCAATGAGGAGGGCTAGCCAAGCCCCATCATCATGGTCAAGAACAGCACACAAGAGCCTTGGGGGACCCTTCTTCTCAGGCCTCCACACTTCAAAGTACAAGTTTCCCTCTAGTAGTTTGCTCCACTTCTCTCTAGAGTAGGCCAACTCAATAAATACACATTCTTTATGTTTTTAAAATGCTTTATATTATCAATTATAAAATGTTTCTTTCACTACCATTTAGGGCTTACAACAAGCCTGTGAGGTAGCCTGTTTGCAGCTAAGAAATCAAACCCCAGAGAAGATCAGGGATCCGTGCAAGCTCACTCAACCCGTTTAAATGGAAGAATAACGCTAGGAATACCTAAGGTTCATATGAACCGAGTAAAAACAGGTATTTGCTCATTCAATCCTAGCATTAGCCCTGTACTACAGACCAGAAAACAAGCATGGGGTTGAAAATTGGCTCCAAATTATTGGAAGAGTATTGGGAGATTTGAACGTGATGTTCATAATAATGTGCCTAACTACTACTACCTGCTTTCACGGAGTAGGGGACAGAGAAATAAGTTTGGATGCCAGGAACAGTAGGCAAAGGTTACAGTTGTCGGCCTGCTGCAGGCCAGTGAGAAAGCAGCAGGAAGCCCTTTCTCCAGCCCCTTGGCTGTCAGTGCTCAAGAGCTTCCCCATGGTCCTGTCGAAGCCCTCACTGTGACTTTCATGAGTTTTTTATCCTTACCACTAGCTGAATGAAGGGCTTATCTCCCCCACCAAAACCAAGAGAACACATTCAGGCAAATCTATCAACTATATTCACCATAATTTAAGAACCAAGCTCAGAAAGTGCTGCGGCAGATCCCAGCCACATTTTGTTCATTTAATCCCTGTGCCTTTGTGTGGCCAGAAGTGAGCTGTAAGATCTAGAAATCTTTCAGAACCAGTGGAACAAAAGACCATTTCTAATAAACTACCCTTGCTCTTTACCTGGGAGAAGAGAAAATTCTTCTGAATTTTACCTTCAAAGGTCAGAACCCTTGTCCTCTAGATTTTTAACACAGATACTCCAAGAGAGCAGGTGGCAGCCTGGCTCAAGCAAAACAGCCATCGGCTTGATCTCAGAGGAACAAAGTTCAAACCTGAGTCATTTAATAATGATGTCTGGGGTACAGAACCTTGAAACCCCTTCTCTTATAAATGTTGCACATCTTTGGCTGACCAAGAACCCAAGGCTGCTATCAGATCCTTCTTCCTCAGCACAGGAATATATTAATTACTAAATCCACCTAATAATTTTGTGTATTTTAATAGAAATGCTTTCAGGTAAAATGCTTCTGCAGCCACTTTGTAAGTTTTGTTTCATGAGGGCAAGGCAGTGGACATCATCTTAAAGTCAGACAAATATATATGGGGTTACAGACCACAAAAGGGAGGAAGAATGAGAGTGGCAAAAATGCCAGCCAATCACATGGGAAATTTGAGAAAGTTGATCTGTAAGAACACTTCATGGAGAGATGCAAAGGATGTTACCCCATTTTAACAGGTGACAAAACAGACTGGGGAAATAAATCTTTTGCCTGTGTTACTCTGCAAATGGCAAAACTGGGCTCTGAACCTATGGCTGTTTCCTAGTTCAGTGTGGTTGGCGGGGGTGGTCAGCGAGCAGTAACGAGAGGCTTTTGCGGTCATCATGCAGCTGGATCCCCAGCTTCCTTGGGTCCCTGAGACCTGGTAGACCGTCACCAGAAGTTACGAGAGCCAGACTGCTTTGTTTCACCGAATATGTGAAGGCGGCAGAAGTTCGTACACTAGGACACAGGGAGTAGCGGTCCATAGTACATGCCCACCAAAGGAAGAAAACACAGAACGTGCTATAACTGAAGCAAAATATTCCACACAAGGACATTATTTCTGGGGTAATTTTTTAAAAGATTTTATTTATTTGGAGAGAGGGTAAGGGAGAGAGGAAGGGAAACCTCACTGTGTGATTTCCTCTCCCATGCCCCTATTGGGGACCTGACCCACAACCCAGGCATGTGCCCTCACTGGGACTCAAACCAGTGAGCATTTGGTTTGCAGGTCGGCACTCAGTCCACTGAACCACACCAGCCAGGGCATACTTCTAGGGTAATTTTTAAAGCAACACTGCCCCCAGAGGTTTCTCTAGGCCACCAAGGGCCCCAGCATTCTATAATCAAAATTCAAATTTGTTCTTATCTATTTCCTTTACAATATCCACAGACCCCACCTGAGAAAGAGAACATGCAGACAGCTTGTAGAAAAGACTAAGGAAAAACCAAGTGGGTTATTCCTAGGCCTCAGCTCGTTCAAGATCAGAATGCTGCCCATGTTCTACACCCAGAAAATAACAGGAAACTCTTAAGACTTTATTTACACTTAAAAACAAGAACTCAGAATGGTTGTTATCCCAATAATGGAAGTTCCCTTGAAAAAACTAAATTTATCTAAGGCAAAAGGATTAGGATTCCTCTTCCTTAATTACAGAAAGGGTTAACAATCCTCAAAACTTTTTACTTATTGCTTTTTAGAGAGAACAGAAGAAACATCGATCTGTTTTTTCGCTTATGTCTGCACTCACTGGCTGATTCTTCTATGTGCCCTGACCAGGGACTGAACCCACAACAATAGCATATTGGGAAGATTCTCTATCCAAATGACCTACCTGGCCAGGACTGCAAAACTTTTAAATCAATATACATGACTATTTCATCTGAATTTCCTTCTTAAAGAGTGCCAGCAGAGTGAGCCTTAGCTTTTCTAAGCATGTTTTTGCACCTATGAAATGAGAGTGAGCTGATCAGTTCACAGAATGATGGTTAGGATTGTATGAGGTATCAAGAGTACTTTAACAGACCCCTTTGCCTAGCATGTTCATTGTATTAGGTATTATTTTTAAAACTGTACTAATAAATTAAGAACTGCCCCCGTGGAGCTAGCCCTACCCTCTGTTCTAACCCTTGTCAGAACGGTTGAGGAAAGTGAGCCGAGTGCAGTGAACACTTTGGTTTGTGAATTCAGATTGCCAAGTTTCTAAAATTTCCTTAAGCTTCATTGTTGAAATTAAAACTTCAATTAAGAAATGTCAAAAGTTCTGGGGAAGTAAACTGAGGCAGTAAAAAGAAATATACGCCAACGGTTCATATTCCATTTGGTTCTTTTTATTAGAAGTTGAGAACACAGCAAGGGCAATCCCATGGTGAACAGCGCCGCCGCACAGATGCCTTTCTGAGACCCCAGCCTTCTACGATCCCCAGCGTGTGCTTTGTGGCTTCAGCAATTTATAAAGGGTAAAGGGAAAAATACTGAAAAAGGCCACTATTTAATGGTGAGAGAGTGAAGCTGCAGAGGTCCTAATCAGCCCAGGGCCAAAAAAGAAAATTAAAAATCTGCACAGAGCAAGCAAGCCTCTGACTGCTGAGAGTAAGGCATTCAGGCGCCAACCTGGTGAGAGTTCTCAGCGAGCACTGTAAGACCAAGTGCAGTGAGGCTGTTGGTAGTGAGTTGCACACAGACACACACATATAAATGGGCACACACACACCCACACACACACCCTTTAGAGATTTTTACTGGATTGTACATCGATGTTAAATTTCATGTTTCTTAGGGGTTTGTGCTATGTTGAACCAGATTCAGCTCCTCCTTGGGGGTGTGAAGTGATGGGGCCCAGAGACTGCTACCTCTATTGGTATTGTTTCAAGGCTGCATCTTACACCCCATATCCAAAGTGCATGACTGAAGAGCAAGTCTGGCTTCTGATATGTGCTATTGTGTCTGTGGAACTAAGTGAGCTTCCTTCCACATGGCCACTGTCCTGCTGGACGGTCTCCTCGAAGAGAGTAATACTGTTTATTCTGTTAGGCACTGAACCAATTTACCCACTTTTGCTGGGTCCACCGAGCATCCAGGACAGTGACCTTATCCAGACCCAAAATACTATTAAGTTCTACAATGGATTCTTTCTTCCTGGTTCCCAGCTTTTGCTAGAAACTGGAAGGGGAAAGAAAAGAGAAAAAGAACCGAGTAAACCCTGTCCAGAATAAATAGGAGACCCTTCCATATTCCCAAACACCCAGCTGAGGATGCAAGCTTACAAGCTTAGGACTAAACAATCACCTGATGAGGGTAAGTAACCTAAGACTCTAGTGCTATTTGGGTGGTTTGAGTATGAGCCAAGATGAGAGTTCCCCTCCCAGGCTATGAACCAGAACCTTCCCCTACCTCTCCCTGACACTGTAACAGGGTAAAGACATAAGCAGTCTTTCTTTTACTTCTGGCACCCCTTCAAAGATACAACTTTAAAGGTTCTACCAGACCCCCTGACAACATACAACTTTCCTTTAATAACTTCCTACCACACTTATCCGGAAATGCTGATACTCCATGGTGCGTACTGGACCCTGCTTCACAAGA